ATTGATTCAGTAACATCATGGATGCGTATTGACTTGCTTGCGAACAAGACATCGATCATCAGACGACTACTCGGCTGCATGTCAGGGGACGGTTGACGTTCCAAGACCCGGAGCTCAGCGGCATGCTACTGAGGATGGATCGACAGAGGGAAGGGGCACAGTACCAGCTCAACACGACAGGAACCCTGTCACGAGAGGATACCGACACTCATATGCCTGCGCCATCGATGCGTTCTTCGCGGAAGGCGACACCGCGACGGCAGGTACCTGTGGAAGTCGGTCGAGCGGCACCACGTCAAGGTTGTAAGCAAATGTGCTTGCGATTTATCTCAAGGCGAGGGCGTTCATCAGCCTCACCAGACCTCTGCACGTACCCGTTTCTTCGTCACTTCATCCCGACAGTAAAGCTAGACCGCGCGGTAAAAGCTCACGTGGAAGAAAACCTAGGAGGAATTTGGCCGGTTCTCTAGCTCTTATGAACAGAATTACTATAACTTGCTTCGACGAACATATCACTGGCAGTTGTAGCGACAGTTCATAGTCACCTGGATGGGCAGCTAAGTTCCGCAGAGCAAGACATACAGGCCGGTCGCACATCAGCTTTTGATGATGTGAGTGTTGATCCTCCATCGGTCACGCAAAAAGCTACCAGTAACGATGGCCGTCCGATGTGTCAAATCGGCGAGGAGTACCTATGGGTACTGTCCGGACCGGATCTCGTGCCTCACGCTTGAATCGACGATCTGCCTATGAAGGGACCAAACGGCTGCGGCCCATGGCCCGAACAAAGCGCTATCACGGGATCACTTGGTGTGGCTACGCCACGGGTACGAACTACACTCGCTTGTGCTATCGACAATCCGAGTCGGTGTCCAGCACTCGTTCCGAAAAGACCATGACATGCCCCGGCGACGCTACGTTAAGCGGAATCATACGGCCGCCACCGTGACGGAAAACGCGTTGTTCGGGAGCATACGTGCCGGGCAAGAGAAGAGAATTTACTTAGTGGTCGGTCGACGCAGACGCTGCAGTAGGTGGAAAAGTGGAAAAATATTCAGATCAGCCCGTTCGGATGCGTGCCAATGGCGGGTGTGGATACTTAAGTGGAAGTACGAGTTATCAACGATCTGCCCTATCCGCAGGATTGAAATGCTACAGACTTGCAGACGTGGTGCAGTCGTCAAAATCAAGCGTGTGGATGTCAAAGCCCCCTTTTGAGACATATTCGGACATACAAACCTGTGTGCAAGTTTCAAGGGGAAGGTAGACCGTCAGGAAGCCATTGTAGTTGATTTAACGCTACCGTTCGGATGACCAGGGTCTCCAACCCACTATCAAGTTGTCGGAGGAGCCATCACATTCCTGGTCCGGCGCAAGAGTCCTGCCACTTTTGATCGAAGAGATGGAGACGATGATCCCTTCTGTTGCTACACATGGGTTAACAACCATATCTTGGTCAAGGAAGACACGCGAAAACGCCTGCATTTGTGTGAAGCAGCACTCCGGCTCGCCATTTATCCGTACTGGAACCTCGCGCCATTAACGAGAAGAACTTCAGCGAATGGTCCGCAAGAGCACGGGTGTTAGACCTGGACTGGGACACAGTGACCAGGAGTCTCGATGCCAACTGAGAAGTTTTAGAACGCGCTACATCGCGTCCAAGCTTTGATGGGAGCCGATTCGACTCACGAACGACGTTAAGCGAGGTATTGATGTGAACCGTTGGAAGAATGGTTCGCCGCTCTTCATCGACGAGTTCCACGGTGGGGCAGAATAGTGATCTCACCAGATACATATCTCGATTTAATATGATTTGAGCACACTCTGCAGAAGATCAAGCTCCAAGGTGTACCTCTAAGTCACTCCGACAATGCCTCGGAGCAGCGGTTCACGTATATATGGACGCCTGCAACACGGGACTGTGCGCTCTGCACCCCGCGACGTACCAATTCCTACGAGTCAAGTTTGACCCCCCGAGCTCGCTATAATTCACGAGAAGCGGTTCTCGATCAATGTCCGAGAACAGCTCTCGGTGGTATTCGTCATCATGTGCTCGGGTATGTCGTGGGTACCTGAGGCTCGCAACAACCTCACCCACGTCAGGTTATGGATCGTCAGTTAATCGGCTGTCTCCTGATGCAACTCGCTCTCAAACCGCGATCCACATGCGCAAGAACTGAACAGCGTGTTCGGAGTGGTAGAAGCCCGACGGGGGATGCGAGTGTCTGCAGAACACTTACCGGGTGCTTCCAACTCCCTTACAGACTTAGGATCGCGTGCCTAGGAGGGTGAGTAGGAGATACTATTGCAGCAACTAACTACGCTTTGGTCGCAAGTAGCAGTCCCGCCTACACTCCACAAGATCTACTCAAGCACCTCTTCAGCCTACAGCATATGTCCCTTGCAGAACCTTCATGGCGACAATACACAACAACGTGGCGGCGGTGGTGCTCGTTCTGCAAGAGCGTCGGGCTATCGGTTTGGCCGTCAGAATGGGCTCCTCAAAGACAATCCCTACAGTTGGCTATCTTCGGCATTTACTGCTGGAGCGGCCGTTTACCGATATGCAGAACTTCAGCTTACTCCGTTCAGTCCAAGCTTAACCACATTCGCTGGTAACTTTATGCCTATGGAGACTTGGATCCGCAACTCACTCCCAGTCACCACCTCGCACTCACCGGTATGTAGCGCATCCGTAGACCACCCAACTCCCGCGAACCCGTTTACCGTCGAAGCGCTCGAATGAACCTTGCTCGACTCGACTTCAACAAAGACCAACAGCGCGTCATTGGTGGTGCTGTGCTGTTGGGCATTTTCTTTCTGCTAAGAAGTGCAGAAAGCCTAGCTGTCAGGGGAGCATGGCAAACAAACACACTCCAAGTGTGGGATATTGTCGTCTGGGATCAATGGGGAGGAAGTACAACGTGCAATGAAACGGTAGCGACAGTGGAGTAAACATTTAGCGGGAGTAAGAATGCTCTACTGGGAACAGGTGTCACGAGGCAATTGAGATAATCACGGCATAGAACGGTGTGTCCAGTTTGGGCTGCAGTGGTCCTGCTCCACCACGCGTCTGCAATCGGCGCGTCGGATGAAGATCCCCACTGTCTAGTCTCAAAATTCTTCGTGCTGACACCATGGCCAATGTGTTGCAACTCGCAGTGACAGCACCCGGATCACACCCTACGAGATTCTCGTGCAATTCACTAATGAGCGGGGGTGCTACTATCGACCGGGATCGATAGTACCATATTTATGCTTCATGACCACTGTAGATAGGGTGTGTTCCAGCGATATACAAGCTACGAGCCAAGGTCATCATCTCGCCGTACGAATGTCTGGGGCTCACCACAAGTGATCGAGCGAGAACCAGCATATTTACAAGGTGTTCACGCCCATGGCCTTGAATCAGCAGATCTCTCATCGCAAAGGTCCAATACGCTAGGTTTTCCCCAACCGTTTACCTCAGCTTTCTTAATCATGAGACACACATGCGCGTTCATGAGTTCGTCAAGAAAACTGTACCAAGTTCCATTCGAGAATCTAGTACAACCAAGCCAAGCAGACGGAGCAGACGGAGCAGACGGAATCACACACGAACCATGGAAATACTCGCTCTGGACATTGGCTATTACGATGGTTCGATCTGTGAATCATCATTCCATAGTTTTGATGGTAAGCAATCAACTGCGTGAGTGATGGAGAGCGCTTCGATCAATCGCACGCTGGACTCGACAGAATGTGCTACACTCAATTCATTTAATTAGCGTCTCAATTTAATGAATTGATTACTGATGTCTAGCTACTCTCGTCCGGACTGATATGGATTTGAGGTAAGTACAATGTTTGATAATCAATTCAAACACAATCATCCGGATTCCGTCCTGATTCTGCCATTTACTGGATACCAAACCAGGTGCAAAATGTTTTTCCAGTTGCGAAAATTCAAATTTATCGACTGCAAATTTGCTCTCAGCAACAGTCCTCTCGGTTATTTCGGCGATTTATTCACCGACATCTCCTCAGAAGGTCTTATTGCTTCGATGTAACTGTACTGTGACGTAAGTACTAACTCATTATATCATGTGACTTGATGTAATTCTTTTTTAAACGTAGTTACGTTAGGGTGAATAAACGTTTTGTATGCCCATGTTCAATTTCCACCGAGCGATGTCAGACCACATTTGTACTTCCCCCCGGTCTTGACCAAGTCGACACTTGCACTATAGAAAAGAACGCATCAGAATCACCCACTTGCTGTTCTTGCGATGTTTAGCTCAATGATGAAGTGCGTTGGGCTTGATGAACTTGTCTAAGTGACACGGTAGAAGGTACTGGTAGCGTGAATCGACATGGGCTAAATGTGAGAAAACTGATCATCTACCAGCATAGACTTTATAACTACCGTGAACTTGCTTATCCTACCTATGCAGGTGAATATGGTCTCCCGGTATCTACCGATGCGTGTGTTAAGCAACCTGCATAAGAATACGGAAAACCAAATACGCTTAAAATGCGTTAGCAGTATTTGACACGAGAAGAAATCTTTATCCGTTACTAGGGCTTCGCTAGACTGAAATTTCTGAAACTGCAGTTGATACACGAGTACTAACAACATAATTGCAATTCTACTCAAAACTTCCCTTGAGGATTGGTTGAATCGACTTGACCTGGGTAATCTACCTTACTACACTGTACCAATCATAGAATATATAATAAAAAGATGACAAAGATTGCTATTATTCAAGATGTTTACACCGCCACCGACGACATCTCAAGAATGTATCTTTTTGGATTTGTGAGGTATATTGTGTTATACTCCAAATGTAGAGAACTCTAATATCCATTCTAGGTGGCTAGTTCATCCACCCTAGTATCGTGACTCCGCTTTAGTCGTCCTCTGACACTGGCCCTTTCAATTTCTCCATTTTTCTTTTCGGGGTGATCCACTGCTTGCAGTCATCGTCCATCCTGCTGAGCACACCATTCTCCAGCCTGTTTCACTCAGCAATTTGCAGCCAATTGACTTCCACGCTTGCTCTGTTATCCATCGCGTAGTTAGCCAACCAATCGGCAATCTTGTTATGTTGTCTATGGTGGAGTGTCCAAGATTGTACTTCACACAAGTCCGCCAGCCTTCTCGTTAAACGGTACCAATGCAGGAGTCTCTTGACTTTGGGTTGTTTCCTCCTTTGAATCATGCTCAACACCATCGCGCTGTCACCGACCACATGCATCCTTTTCCATTTCTGCTCCAACGGCTCTGCTCAGACCTCAGTGAAGGCCTACAAATTCTGCTACGTTGTTGGTGGTCCCTTTGTTTGCCAACGATGTTGCAGCAGCCCACACCGGTCTCACTCTCTCATGAACGTCCAAAACTTCCACAACAACGCTCCCGCTTCCTCCTGGTCTTGAGTTACCTCGTGACCCTCCATCAAAGATTAATACTCTAGTCACTTCAACGTCCACTCGAACGTCCCTCCACGCTACTTTTTGTATCATCATCCGCAGGAGGTGATTAACGACAGTGAGCCGTTGGTAAGAATTCGTCGTCAAGGAAAAGAGCCCTGCCGATATCTCCACAATGTTTCAAGTATTTGAACCCTGGCGCGTCTCCTGCATGACCCTAATTGTTCCGTAACACCCAGCTCTGGATGGGCTAAATCAATTCGTCGTCTCCGGATAGCCGTTAATACCACCGCACACCCGATGGCCCACATCTCGTTTACCGTTTGCTGCAATTGGTCCCACATTTCCAGCTTTTGGTCCTTTGCCCACTCCAGAATCCACGTTGACAAAAAAACCAATTCCATGGAGAAAAATGCACGTATTATTACCGGGTCCTCTCCGAACCCCGGTCGCCTGTGCGGGTACGAGAAACTCCACATATCCAATAGATCTTTCCACAGCACGGCTGCTGCTGGATATCCCCAAGCTAGGTGTTCTTCACCACGGCATCCTGTCTCCATACACCCCTCTTCCAGACGCTGGAAGCGGCTATCTCTTCCTACCCATACTTTCAGGTGTCTACATTTCAATCGAGTCCACGTCTGTGCTAGTGGTAGGCTGTTTCCCCTTCAAGAGTTTGAATTGGTTTTTATGCGAGCTCCCCGAGCGCGTTTGCAATCTCTGTATTGGCTTGTTTCCATTTTTCTGCGCCCTCCGCATCGCGGTTTGTGCCTCCTGCTTCTGACATCGATTGATAATGTTCTTGTACTTTTTCCTGGACTGCGACCACCTACGGCTTCCTGTCCACAGCATTCTCAGCTTGATGATCCACGGATGTGGGGAGATCCATACTTCTTCTTGCTTCACATTCAACGACGTAGAGACCACACTCTCCACTCCTGTGTGAAGTCCTTTGTCAATTCGCGTCACACAAAGTTCTTGCGTGCTGGAACCCCACGAGAGCAGCACGGTATCGGGTTGCCACCACTCTGCCTGTGGAGTTAGCTCGAAGATGTGATGCTTGTCAGATAGCCTGTGATGCACATCCATCCAGTTATCCTGCTGACGAATCTCCCCCAAATACAGATACTGCTGAGCCTTTTGAACAGTGCCCTTTTTGCAAGTTCTTAAAGGTTATAAATTGTATTAAGGACATTCGATATAGCAGTTAATGATTTGAACTTCAGCTCAGGATGTCACGTATACAAATGTTTGTTCGACGCTCGGGAGGTGTAGCGAATTTCTCGGCAAATACGATCCCAGACTTCCAGAAACAATTGGCAATAGTTTCTTTCTTCACGGTGGCCCAGACTTCACATACCCACCTCATCGCCTGTAGCTGGTCCACGTAATAAACCGTCTTTCCTGTGGGCTTAATCTCTGGTCTCGATCGAAGGTCACGATACATTGCAAGACGGTAGAGCTTAATCCGGTAGCAACTCTTCAACGCAGCGATGATTCCAGCATCCATGGGCTGGATGTGGTATTAGGCGGAAGCTTCTGAACGATGATGTTCGTAAGCACTCCACTGTCGTCTAGCACGTGGGAAGATGTATTGTCGAACAGTAGTAAGGTCTGCCTACCTTCCTTCCTCATATCGTTGTCAAACACGCGCACCCACTCGCTGTACAACGTCATCGTCATCCAAACGTTTTTGTTGTTGCGTTAGTAGTAGCCCAGTTGCCAACCTTCCTTGCCTTTGAAGCAGTATGATTTCTTCGCTCTACCGATGAAGAACACATCACGCTTCTCGGAGCCGTCAGCGTTCGCGGCTGAGGCCAGCGTTATGCGCGTTTTATCCTTTTTTGAGTCCTGCCGTGCCTAATTTACATATGCCACGTGTTGTTGCAGCCCGATATAATAATCCTGTTTCATCCATATTCCATACATCTCGAAGTGCGAAATGTCTAGTCACATCCTGCATCGCCATCCGGCCTTAGACAATGTCAGCCGGGTTCACAGATGCAGCTTCACCGTGGAGCGTGCGGGATCGTAGGCCATGACCCTTTAAAAAGCTCGCCATCCAACCACCACAAAGTTTTACTGCAGGAACACTTTGAATACTCATTAAAATATCCTTTGCCTGCTCGAGGATGAGACCGTGAGACGGGTGAACGTGGTCTCTTTCTGTCTCCTCGATGAATTTTCCAAGCGGGCTTCTAGTTCCGGACACCGCAGATTAAGCACATTGCTTTGGGAGTCTTCGAAGTTTTGAGTTTGCACTTGATATCGTTGGATTTTCGAAGAATGTACATGATAGTAGACCTCGAAGGAGCGTTAGGCAGCGAGAACGTGGTGTGAGCCCATCGCACCAGCGCCAACAACGACGGAGGTGGAGTTGTCTGGTGGAATTTGACGATGGTTTCGCACTTCTGTGCAAGTGTCATCCACTTGGTTTTGGTTCACTGCTGTGGATGGCCCATGACGGTTGTGTGCTGCAAGGTTGATTGAGTTGTGTGGATGCTAAGCTTTTGGGCGGGAGTTTTGAATTTCACAGAGGTCCAAAATGGAAAGGCGGTACTCCTTTTAAATTGGTTTATGAATGTTAGCAATTAGCGCAGGATATCCGATGATCGTGTGTTCAAAAGGCTCAGCGGTATCTGTATGCACAGACACAATTCCTTGAATTGGTGGGCAAAACCACTTGCCATCGGAATCCGCAGTGTTACTGGTTTGAAGGTGACTGTCTCATTGCTACCAGTCGAAATGATCATCACGTCCTAAAACCGCATTGTTTTTGCTTTCAAACCCAGTTTCCCCATTTTACTTCATTTGAGTCGCTCTCCTGTCGCTGTCCACAGCTTGAGGTCGATTATCGAAAGGTGATGGACGGTGCTACGACTGAACAGCCCTCGTTGCTGTATTCTGTCCCTTCATCGCCCTTTAACTTCTTCCTTCAGGTTTCCTTCGCACTCCGGCTGCAGCCCTTCTTTTGTCCATTTCGTCCTCAGCCCATTTTGATACTTACGGATAGTCCGTAGTTCCACGGTTGCCTTGTCGTCCTGTTCCCCATGTACTCCAGAACCACCTAAGAGGTACGATACCAATGGCCTTCCCGTCTCCCACATGGACTTAATGATCTCTTCCTTTGGGGCGTTTTGTATTGGGACCAGGTGACCCGCTGTCCTGACGCCATCCACTTGAAGTATTGACCCGGTCGCCTGTGCCATGCGTCCATCACTCACAGCCCATTGACCGACTGTTGACGCGCTCATTGCTATCAACTCCGTATCCAGATTCGAGATTCCCAAGCCCCCCCCGATTGTGAATCCAGCTCTGCGACCGTCGCTGACATCCATCCCTTTGGCGTCTTTCCTGGGTCCCCAAAAATCGAGTTCCAGACGAAATTTCTGACGTATCTGTCTGCTTTTCTCCGGAGCTCTTCTGGTGGCCATGCATGTTTCGCCACATACAGTAACTTCGGAATCCCTATGGCTGAGGCTATAGCTGCCCGCTGCTGGATCATGTTTGTCTTGACTGCAGCCAGCGCGAGCCTGGAACGCACTGCCCAATTGCTTTCTTCCATATTGCCGTGGTGGTATCCCTGCCTCCTATCTAATGTCCCAAGTATCTGACACTGTCCATATCGGCAACCAGATCCCCTGTTCCGGTGCTAACCCCTTTTTCCCTAGCGTCACTGCTGTTGACTTCATAACATTAAGCCAAAGACCAGCAAAAACGCCCTACCGCTTGAATCGCGTCCTGTTGCTGGTCTCGACTGGCAATATATATCGCTGTATCATCAGCATAACCAGCATCCTTGAATATCTCGACATCATGCGATTCATCATACCCTCCATTCCGTTCCGTTTGACATTGCAATTCGATCCCTTGCAGGCCTTGGGTGTGTTCAATCTCATCATAGAGCGGGTCAACTGCTATAATGAAGAAAAGTGGAGCCAACGGACAGCCTTGCCGGATTCCACTGGCCACCGACACTGCTCTTGAAAGTTCTCCATTTGTCAAACACTTTGCGGTGGTCCCTTCATACATTGCTTGTATAGCCTGGCAACACTTCGGTGGAAATCCTTTAGCTTTAAGTACTCTCAGGATGAAGCAGCGATCCAGTGAGTCATATGCCTTTGCGAAGTCCAACATCAGCCCTTGTGCGTCACCTAGGTCTTCTCTGTGTTGCGCTACTGTTTTCGCTGCCTCCAGCAAATCAATCGCTCCGTGAATTGTTCGCCGTGGGACAAATCTGAATTGCGTTGAGTGCACCATTCGAGCCAAATACAAGTTTTCCTTTCTGTGCACTGAGGACCACCCTCCGTCATCACCCTCTTCGCCAGCTAATGTTACCAATTGCGCTGGTGTCTCCACGCTTGCTCGATCTGTACTACCTTCCTCCTCAGTTCGTATCATTGCCATGATCGTTGCTGTAGCCATACAATGACTCGGCAACCCTTCGTACTTACTTGAAGATCGTATGCCAGGGGGTTCAGGCCTTCCACAACCCACCCCTGATCCTTGGTTTCTCCCGGAGCTGGGCTTAACTTGCGCAGGCGTCTGTAAATTTGGAAGTTACCTCAAGAATGTATTTGATTGTTGCCACATCCAGAGTACCATCGAACCCCCCTGTGATCAACGATGCTTCGCCCTCTAGAAGCTATACCCTAAGATACAGACAATTACCAAGAAGTATGCGTATGCGAGTACGACCCATCTGGCCATGAACTCGGTTCATTTGTTCCAGCTAAGATGATTCTGAAACGCTTGGCGAATTTCTGATGGTATGGTATCATATGAAGTTTGCGGTGACAGGCTAATTTCCAAAACGGTGGTGATGACAACACTGGGTCAGCTAGCAATGGTCAATCCGACTGCGCATGGATATGGCGTTATCAAGTATTGTCTCGTCAGTAAAGGAGATCGAAGCACAAGCATATGTGTGCACGAATTCAACCGCCTTTCACGGCTGCAAGGAGAGCTCCGTGGTGCATATACTGTAAGAACGACGATGTAGTACAGGACCGTAGCAAGATGTTGGCCGAATGTGAGAGCTGGTGCACGGGTTACTACAGGAGGATAAGGAGCAGCCCAAGGTGCAGCCGCTC